CGCAGAACAGAACAAGAAACGAAACTAAAAGGTACGTTTTGCCTGGAGCGACAGGTGCGACGGTCGCGCAGCGACTGTCGCCGAGCGGCAGTCGCGGGGCGGTAGACTGTTTTGCTTGGAGCGACAACTTCTTCTTCCTGGCGTCACGAGACGTTGTAGCGTCAGTGCACCTAACCTCAAAAGTGTGCACTAAGTATAAAGTCACTAAATAAATTCGATAAATTCACTTAGTAAAACAGGCAAAACTTAACAATAAAGTATTCTTTATAGGCCTAGTTATTTGTTATGAGTAACATTCCAAAACTGCCATATCACGAGCCAAAATGTAATAAAATTACTCAATTGTACTGTAGTACACAAGCATAACTTGAATTGGAAATCAGTATTATAAACAACCTCCTCACAGAGTGAAAATTATATTTTGTTGATTGTATAGTAAATGAAAAAATACCAATTACATTATATACTCCATTAATATTTGAATAGCCTCTTCTTAAAACATTACTTTAATAATTGGCATTTTATATATTTACATATGACACGCCTGACTTTTAAGCCAATTTGATCAACAACCATTTATACAGAACAATATTTTATTAAATCACCTAAACGAAAATGTAATTAGAAGTATTTAAAGTTGACAATCTAAATAATCTACTAATATGTTAAAATAACTTATAATATAATAACATAATATTGAACTAACCTGACGTTGTCCTTTATTCCTTGGTCTTTGTAGGATATAATATAAAGCGCGGGGTGTTTTGCCAACTTCTTCTAATAAACTGTAGTCTTCCTCACCACTAAAATTTAACTTGTCGCTAAGCGACCGTCGCTCCTGACTGGTCTTGGAGCAGTACCCAGCGACTGCAGCTCGCGGCTCTAGCGACAGTAGCTCCAAGCAAAACAGGACTATGCAAAACCCCTTTGATCAGTGTCCCGCGACTGCCGCTCAGCGACGGTCGCTGCGCGACCGTCGCACCTGTCGCTCCAGGCAAAACGTACCTTAAGGAGGCTGAAATTTGGGTGGAGTAGAGGCATGTAGAGGTAATTCAAAGAAGTCGCGGGAATTTTCAGCAGTGTAGAGGGTAAGCGACCGCACCGCGAAACACGTGACCACGGCGAAGCCACGCCCTTCGCGCAGAAGGGAGGGGCCGGGACCTGGCTGACCGATTTGAGTTGTCGGTACCTACTTGATATGTGATCTAAGTGAATTGGTACCTAGGTGAAAGGTTGCCTAAAAGAAGGCCTCCCCCCCGGTTAACCAAAATAATGGGGGAAGAGCCGTTTCGGATAACCAATTTTTCGGTTAACCGATCAAATGCTAAAAAAAACTCCTATGTATTACCACGGTGTGTAGGAAAAATTAATTTAAAACAATGTCTATAATACAGTGTTTTATTTCAGCTACGAAAATGTTCCAAAGGCCAGAACAGTCAGAACTATCAGATGGTCAGAAAATGGTCTCTCTGTTTTCATATTACTTATTGTACTTTTATTTTAGCCCTGTATTAATTTAATTTATGGAACCATTTCGGATAACTTGGGTTTCGGTTGGGGTTCTACTGTATAATGCAACTTGAGAGTAACGGTGACAAAATCACTAATAATTTTAGAAATAGAGAATCGGTGCTCCATGACCACAAAATTTACTTATACGTATGTTAACTTATACAGTGTTCTACTGGTTCTTCATAAGAGAATGGGTTTAAAAGTAAATGGTACCATGGTACTTTGGTCTCAATATATATTAAATATATTTTATGTTTGTTGTTGTTCCGGATCGGTTGACAATCAATATATGTATAGAAATAGCCATTCTTCTATTATTTTCATCCATTCGTGTGACAATATCATCACATCTACATCTACCATAGACTAACCAACACATATAAATAAATAAATGAATAAATAAATAAATAGATAAATAAATAAATAAACGCGAGTAGCCTTCTCATCACATTGTAAATTTTGAAGCCCGTTTTTCGGATCTAGTTCATGTCCGCGGTGACACTATGACTGCTATTGTTGACGGAATTTTGTTTATATTATTTTAGGGTTAATATCATGATTTGGGTTTCTACTGTTTGGTTTTATAACTATACGAGACGAGTTCTTGTTTATGATTAGATCATTTTATTTGGTTAAACAAGGTTTTAAAAGACTGAAATAACAAGAAACAAATTGTTAACAAAACACACAACCTCTACGCTGCAGTGCACCGGACAATGCATGAGGACCGGACACTCGGACAGAACTATCAATAAAACTGGCTTCAGCTGTTCCATGCCATAAGTATGCCTTATTTTTAAGCATCTACTAAGGGTTTTTATTTTACACAGCTGCTATTATATCTATGGATGTAAATGTGTTCGTGTGTGCGTATTCACGCATTCTTCTATCTACATGTAAAATGTAGTTATGAATTTTGGTCAAGGAAGAATGAATAAATTATTGTTAATTATGAATTTAATGACTAGGGCCTATATGTCTAATTGATTTCATTGCATTGGATGGTGGGAGGATAAAGCACCACGACTATCGAAGTTGGCTATAGCATGGTAAAACGTTCTCCCTTGGTAGATTTCTCATCCTTAAAGAACAAAAGAAGCCATTTTTTGTTAGTTTTCTCCAGTGCAGTGTAGAGATTGTGTTTTGTTTACAATTTGTTTATTTGCCATTTCATTTATTTAAAACAACCTCGTTTAACCAAATAAAACGATATAATCATAAACAATAACTCGACCCCAGTTATATAACCAAACAGTAAGGCACAAATCATGAAATTAACCCTAACTAAAACCATAGATAAAACATACTCCTCAAGTAGTATGTTTTTTCTAAGCTAAAACAATATAAACAAAATGTCGTCGACACTAGCGATCAGCACCAGACATTGACTACACACACACGAAAAACGAGCTTCAATATTTACAATGGGATGAGTCTACTTGTGTTGGTTAGTCTATGTAATTCAAGTACATCAAATGCTGTCATAAAGTTGGTTGAAAATGTTGTTAGCGACTTGGAAAAATCAAATAGAGTAAATTTCAGATCTTTTGATATGTCAAAAGCGTTTGACACAGTTCAACATGATATTTTGGGAAAAAAATTGCTTTTTTATAGATTTGACCTTAATTCGGTAAATCTCATAATGTCTTATTTAACGAACCGGACTCAGTTTGTATTTAAGGATGGAACTTTTTCAAGGGGCAGACTGGTAGAGTATGGTGTGCCACAAGGCTCTATACTTGGACCAATCTTGTTTAGTATCTATATTAATGATCTACCGATTAGTGTTGAGAGAATAGGCATCGATGGCTTTTTATTTGCAGATGACCTTGGTTTAAAAATTGTTGATAACTCAAAACAAGGTATAGTAGACAAACTTGATTCTAGTCTTTTGACTCTCCAGGACTGGTGTGCTGCTAACTATCTATCTCTTAATACGGAGAAAATTTATGACTTGTATTTTAGCTACAATAAAAATGTTGGTAATACTTCAGAAATCAATGTTTTAAAGTTTTTAGGTATTTGGTTGGATTCTAAACTGTCCTGGAGCTTCCATGTAGATTTTATTGCTAAGAGATTGTCCAAGGGTTTATATATGCTTAGAAGGTTAAGGCACTGTGTTGATAACTATGTATTGTTAAATGTTTATTATGCACAAATCCATAGTATTTTAACATATGGTATTGTTTTATGGGGAGCTAGTTCATATTGCAAAAAACTTTTTATTTTGCAAAAAAGAGCAATTAGGTTAGTTTGTAATGTCCCTTATAGAAAGTCTTGTAAATCCTTATTTGTAAATTTACGTGTCTTAACTCTCTACTCTCTTTATGTATTACACTCTCTGTGCTATGTCCACTCAAATTTAGACTCATTTAGTATTAATGCTGATTTTCATTCCTATAATACAAGAAACAAATGCAATTTAAGAGTTCAACAATTTAAGTATGCTGCTTCACAGAAAAACTGGTTGTATTTGTCAACCAAGCTCTATAATTCTTTACCAAAAAATATAAAGTCACTGCCAGAAACTAAATTCAAAAATAAAATAAAAAATGTACTCATTAATGAGTGACTCTATACAATTGAAGACTTTTTTGAGATATGCTGGGAAATGTACAGTTAAATCTTTCGATCAATCTATCTAAATTTCAGTTCCACTCATGTTATTCAATGCAAAAAAATTTTGAGGTCTAGTGTTAAGATTTTGATTATGTATTAAACAATTTGGTTTATTCTCTTATTATATAACTATGTATGTATATTTGTATATGCATTTCACTTGACATTGTATATTTCATGTTAGATCTAAGTTGTGACGATTGTCAATACACTGTTTTTTGTGTTTTAATGACAATAAATATTCTTGATTCTTGATTCTTGATATGACTATAGTCTGACGTTTGATATTTTGGCAATAACTTGAGCCATTCTTATGCCCCCAGTACACTCTCGCCGAGGCAAGGCGAGCGTTGGCGAGTGCGAGAGTGTACTCGGTTCGCTCGTCTTCTCTCGCCTTGACTCGGGTCGCCTCGCCTCGCCTTGCCTCGTGCTCGTCGGCGCTCCATCTGGAGTCGGTTTTTGGACACACACGAGTCAAAGGACCCGAGACTGCACGAGTGGTGAGCGCTACTTCCACATCGAAGTTTGTTCCTTTTCGACTGCGAGAAAATGCGAGAGTGTACATGGTTACCTCGCATAAGCTCTCGCCCGAATTGAATTACTCGGCGAGGTGCCTCGGTGAGCGTCTCGGCGAGAGTGTACTGGGGGCATTAGCATCTTCTATTTATAACAAAGAATGTATAGGTACTTAGCTTATAGGTAAGAGATTGGTCTGCAGCTGAACATGTGAATTGTTTAAATATAAAATCAATGCCACGACCAATAAAACTTAATAAGACCTGCCTGACTGGCTTTGGACTAGACGAGACTGAAAAACCGACCAGCCAGATTAGATTTAGATTAGTCGTCAAAAACCAAAAACGAAAAACAATAAGTCAAACGCATAGCAAATCAAAACAGTGTGTTATTTTGTATCTGTAAAGGAGGAATTTTTGTATACTTTTAAAGTACTTTTTTTATCTTCAAAGTTTCATGACCGTCTGAAATAGTTTTTTACTAATGTTTGAAACAGTACTAACAACATGTTGTAGAATTAATTAGTTCGGAAAAATAAAAGGTAAGCTTTTAAAGGTGGAGTCAACAGTTTCATCGGCATCGTGTTCAGCATTGTGAACTATGTCATATCACCTTTCTTTTTACAATTTAAACTTCTCCCAAGTATACAACTTTACATAAAACACGGCCTAAAATATATTTCCTTTCTATAAATAGCTCTCAATGGTATTTATTTTGATGTTATTAAATAATGTGAAGATCAAATTCTTAGCCTAGGCCTAAGTCTTAAGTCAGTAACAAGCCTTTTCTCAACTTCACGACATACTTTGTACATAATTAGTTCAATAATTTAATAATATAGTTATTTGATAAATGTATTATATACCTAATTTTGCTAAATTTCGAAACTAACCTAACTACCAATAAGAATCTAACTAAGTTGATCTTTTTCAGACTTGGGAAAGTTAAGTTTAGTTACAGTTACAAGTAAGTCGCTCTTTCCTAAAATGTAAACTAAACAAAATTCAAAAGTAACCGATTACAGTTACAAGTTACATGCTTCAAAATTTTAGAAACACTAAAAGACACGGCTGCACTTAAGTTTACGACCTACACTCAATCGAATGAAAAATATCGATATAGGCCTATAGATTATTCGATATATCGATTATTTCATTCGGTTTGTTAGGTTAGGTTTTAACCTCACTAACCAAACTTGATATAAGTTATCGAATGAAATAATCGATAGGCTATAAGTTATTGATCGATAAATTCGTTAGAATAAGTGTAGGACGTAGGTAAACTAAAGTGCAGCCAAACCAAAGTGTTTTTCTAAGTAACATTTAAACCAATAAAACACGAGGCATAAGCTATTGATAAGTCATGACACTTGGGCCTAAAAAAAGTTATAAGTTACAAGCTAGGAAATAAGTTAGTTTGAGCCAGAAAAAAATCTTGATTTTACCTTCGCATTGCTGATCTTAAATCTTAACCCTTTTTCATTTACGGTTAGGTACTATAATATACGGATAAAATCAATCTTTTCACTTTAAAATACCTAGGGTTTTTTTAACAAAAGGGTAACCTCTAAAAAGCATCACTAATTGAAATGGTATAAGATTACCTGTATCCGTAAGTGATCATAAAATTTGTTGTATTGAGCAACCGTTTTCAAGGTTAAATTCTCACCATCAGACTCTTGTTGTCACTCTTGCATGAACGGCGAGTTTTAGAAACACACAAAAAGACACTAACATTTAAATCAATAAAACACGAGACATATTGATAAGTCATGACAAACCGTCTGCCCGTGCCCCGTCGTGTGTGGAGTTAGTTCCCGAATTTATGGTAAATCCATATCAATAGGTCTTTATTTATTTATTTATTTATTTATTCCAACAGGAAACCCATTACATTGAACCATTACCAAGAAATAACAATAAAAATCAAAGCAAGATGTGATACAAATAGGCCTACTACAAATAATCAACAGCAACAGCAGCAACGAAATTAATACAATAGTCTAAATTCAACATCAAAAAATGTGTACTGTCTTGTGTTTTATTGATTTAAATGTTAGGCCTAGTGTCTTTTTGTGTGTTTCTAAAACTCGACGATCTCGCAAGAGTGACAACAAGAGCCTGATGATGAGGTTTTAACCTTGAAACCGGTTACTCAATACAACAAATTTTAAGACCACAGACGGAAACAGGTAATCTTACATCATTTTAATATTCAAGAAGTGATCCTGGACCAAAGAACATCAATATGAACTAGGGCCTAATTGAAAGCCTTTAAATTATAAGGCAAACGCTAAGTTACAACCACTCGGTTTCTTGGAAATTTTAAATGGTCGGGTAAAAAGTTATCACAGATTTAACTAAAATATTAGCGCTACAGCTTCTCATGCGGCCAGCATGGGTAGCGATCTCATGTGGGTAGCATGGCCTGGGTTATATCCCAGTCGCACCACTAAAAATTTGTATGTGTTGCAACTTGCAAACCCAGTGCTTAGCATCTCAGACTTGGACGGGTTAACTTCCTGGCTCTTAAATGGGTTTGGACCCCCCCCTCAGTAAGCGGGTGTAAGTTTGGACCCCCCCCCCCCCCGATCATTAGCGTTTACATTAACCAACTTTGATTTCAATTAAAAATGTCACTGGCCTAAATAAAAAAACCTTTAAATGCTGTAAAGTAGTGTGATGTAAACCTGCAATGCATGTTTTGGCTGTTATCCAGGACTCCGCCATCATCACAAAAGACGAAAGGATCCACTTATAAGGTGTCGTCAGGACAGATTAGCCTATCTGTCGGAATGAATATCCAGTCTACAATTTGCCACCTGGGGCAATTTACACATATGTAGTCCAAAAGCCATCTGTGATTGATTATTTCTTAATTTTTGTGTGAACGTGTAATCTGTGTTTGTGTTTTAGCTTATTTTGAGAAATGAATCTTTTTGTAGCCTGGCGATAACTGCTGAAAGGGATGTAGGTCTAGCCAGGTTTACTTCCCACCCCTTTACTGTAGGCCTAGGCCTATGTCAAAAATTATCAGTTTTTTTTTTTGTCATACAAACTTAGGGACATAAAATTGTATGCTTAAGTAGGTCTATACAAAAACAATGCTTTACTGTTGTCTGTTATTTCAGTTAAATCATGATTAGTTAAAATTCAAAAGTAGGCCTAATAATTTACAATAGTCTTTTTCCTGAGTACCAGTTAGATGATAGGCCTTAATGTGTTTTAATTTAAAAGCTAGGTACTAAAAATAGGGGGTTGCTACATATAATTATTCATGTTTTATTTAAAGTTTAAATTTACCGTAAATCTATTTGGGAAAACGAGTAGGCCCTCCCATTTGTGTTGTAGATAACTCATTACTGATAACATGTTATGTTTGATAAACCTCTAATTATGTGACTTGAATGAAATGAAAGGTTACTGTTTTTTGTTGAGATTCACATCATGGTTGTTATCATTTGCCATGTTAAAGTGTTGTGATAGTAAACATCTTGTATTGGATTTGTTTCTACAAATATGGAGTTTATTGCAAATAAAATTACTGGTAGGCTATTTAATTTTATCTACTTCAAGTCTTTATTTTTGTTTGGATATAATTTACACAGTAAAAAATAATTGTACAAATTCTATTAAGGACACAGAACTGAAGAATTTGTACAAAAAATTGAGGACAAAGTTGGAAATGTTGTTGTTTTTGGAAAACATTTAACAAAAGTCACATTTTGTCAATATGTTTAAGGTCTGTCTATGCACATTGAGCTATTGTTGACATGCCTGGATCTACATAGAGTCCGGATGTTTCCATCAATACAGCATGATCTTAAAATTAAAACAAATGCCCCTAAAAAAGCAATTACATATGGTACTTAAATGAACTTGGGCAAATTTAAGCAATGAAAAAATGCTTAAACTTACTGGTCTACATTTGTACATTTTGTAAGGGCTACCCAAAAACGAATTAAAAAAGTTTTGAAAAACTAAAACTAAGTTTATTAGTAGATATTAGTTTTATTCATTCCAAAAAAGTAGCCTATTATTAAAAACGTACTTTTAAACATAGTAGTGTAGGTACCAATAAACATATGCATTGGAATGGCATTCTGTACAAACCTGAAGCTTGATATTTTAAGTTAACTTAGGCCTATAGAACTTATAGATAGGCTATGCATAGAGATTTCCCCTTCGCAAATTTCAATATACCGGTACTGCAGATGTGGATTCTGTATAGCATGAAGTGTCATACATTTGTACATTTAATTTTAAGCATGTAATCTTTGTTGATGTTTATTTTAATAAATACTGGAACGTCAATTTCTGTCCAGGGCATGTCCATGCAAGATGGATCTACTGACAGCTCAGACACTGGTGTTTGAAACACTACAACAAGCAGCAAGTCAAAACTCGGACGTGCTCAAACCTGCCGAGCAAAAACTAAAAGAGTGGGAAGGTGTCCCTGGGTTTTACACCATTCTTTTTGTAAGTCCACTTGTTATTTTGTTCTTAAAAAATACTTGTTAGCATAAAATCGTTTGTTGTGGACACATTTCACTGAGTATTACATTAGAAGGAGATTCCCAATGTGTGATTACCAAAGAACTCTGATCTATCAATCATCATTTAAACTTCATATAACTACACCTTCCTGCTTACAGTTAAATACTATAGGCCACTAGGCCTAATCCTACTTATTTTACTAAGCAAAATGTTTAGATTAAGTATAGTGCACACCCTATCATGTGGACACCTCCGAACCGGACTCTTGTTCAAATTAAGAATTTTTTAATCCCTCAGAAGCTATTAGGCCTACAAAAATTAATGAACGAATTTCAAAACAACACATGTATGTAACATTAGTAAAATATAGTTAAAAAATTGTAAGTCGGTTGCTCAGTCGGTAGTGTCATGGACTTTGGGCCCAATGCAGCGATGTCGTGGGTTCGGATCCTGATCACTGCCTCTACTTTTCATCAATACAGTTCACCCTTCTTGTAGCCTACTGTACCGCTCACCCTTCAATTTGCTGGATACGCTCCACGCATAGGTCCATAGCCTATGTAGTCGGGTAAATGCAACGATAAAAGAGGCTGTTAACCTCTTTAAAAAAATAGTACTGGACAACATAGTAATGGAGTAATAACAACTGTACCAAACTGCACCAGACAAATAAGTTATGACTTATTTTTTATTTCTGGATACTGACAAAAAAATGCTGGGGAAGCCTAGGCCTATATTTAAGCGTATGTGTCATATGCCAATAGTCGTCTTAACAAAAAATGAGAGTAAGTTTACTATGTATCTATTCTAAGTATTCTTGTCTATTCCTTTCTTCTTCTCTAAGTTTATAATTTTTTTTTTGTCTTTGCAGGATATTTTTTCAACCCACACTGTAGACGTCAATGTCAGATGGCTTGCTGTTTTATATTTTAAGAATGGAATTGAGAAGTACTGGAGAAAAGGTGCTACAAAGTGAGTAAAACCCTCACTTTAGCTATCAAATAATGTTGTTTTGATCTTCTTAAACAAAGTTTATTTCACTGTCTACATTGACTACGAATTTGGGCTGGAAAAAACAAATTATACTAGACCTAGTTAAGTAATAACAAATTCTGTACTAAACATAATTTCACTGTAGATTCATCAGATACAACCGTGGAAGCTACCTCCGCGCCCTGGCAACAAGAAAATTAATACCAGTCCGGTCGGATAGTTGAAACAACGTAAATTTAATCATATCCAGTTGCTCGAAAGTAGTCTATAAGTTATATTCAAGGCCAGATTGCCAAACACTTAAAAAAAAGTTATAAACAAAATATTTGCAAGTGCAGAAATAAACCTCAGTATTACCGAAGGGTAATCTTTTCAATATAATCACACATTCTTCTGCTAAGAATTTTTTCCCCACTTTCTTACCCAACAAGGCCTAATGGAAACAAAAACTGCAGTCTGAAGTATTTTAGACTGCCACCATTCTATACAACTTATGTTTTTTAAACCTAATTATTGTTGTCCTTAATTTTTGCAAAATCAAATTGTTATCAAAAAGTGTAAGAGGCATTTAATCTTAATCACTATGTTGAGCATATCTAAAAAAATTCATATCTGTTAGGTTGCCATCCCCAGATGAGTTATTTTGCTTGTTAGTTACGTTTGTAATGAACATATCATAAATTATCACAATAGGCTATACTTTTAGTAGGCCTATGCCTGTATATATTCATTATCAAAATTTAGGCCTACTTGTTTGTTTATGTTTTAGTGGCATTTCAGAAGAAGAGAAAGCAGGGATCAGACAAAAAATAGCCTCCACCTTCAATGAACCTGTGAACCAAATCGCCGTGCAACTGGCAGTAGCTATATCTAAAATGGCCAGGTAATCTTGTGGTATTACATTAGATTATCTATTGTGCTGAAAATAACTTCGGTTTTATTGAAAGTTGGAATCAACATAATCAAGTTATAGACACAGTCCTAACTACAGAAAACAGCTGTATTAGTCAGCTACCTGGGATTTTATTCCATTCTATACAGTGGCGTAACTACTGGGGGGGGGGGATGGATGAGGGGGATAGAACACCCCCCCCCCCCCAAAGGCAAAAATAACAAAAGAACTGTTGACGAAATAACCTCCTCCATAATGGTTTCATAATGAACATTGTTCACAGAGGATCAATCAGGAATTGTCGCGGGTAATATCATAATCTTTGGGAATAAAATCGGGGATTTCCAGTGGCGATTACGTGGAAAATCATCATTAGGTTTGCAACGCTGCCGCTCATGCACTGTAAGCTTAAGTTTTCAGCCTGTTAAAATCAATTTAGGTATAATAAAAACTCAGTAGATACGGCTCTTCACGCGCAGCTCAGTAGGCTACAGTACAACAAAAACTTACAGCCTCAATTGGGTTGATTTTTGGAGTTATTTTGAACATGATTAGACCTCTGGAATGCCTGAAAACGCGAGTTTTGAGTTCTAGTTTTTCAAAATTTTCCGAGAGGAAATTTTCCTGGACCCCTCTATTTACTGCAGGGTATTCCATACCCTCTAGGTCCCCGGTGTTGGGGCTCCTCCATCTCTCTCCCCCCCCCCCCCCCAAAGCCACATGTTCTAGTTTCGCACTGATTCTATACTCATCCTGCATCCAAAGCCTAAATATGGTACACACCTAGAAGGCATTGATGTTTCAACAGTAATGTTAATAATAATAAAATTACACCTAATATTATACCTGAAAAAGGTAGTCACTCGTAATGTTGCATGTCTTGTTTTATGACAACCAAACACCTGTTCAGCCCAAAAACCCAGTCTATGTCAATGCAGTTATGAAATTATACTAACTGCTAAAAACAAGAGTTTTTAAGTGAAAAATCCATAACCAGCTCTCTTAAAGGAAAATGAGGGGGTTTTAGCCTCACAGGCTTAAATAAAAAATAAAAAAATACCAACCCATTGCAGCTTAAAACAATTGTAATGTTTAAAAATATATTAAACTAGCTGTACCCGCGGGCTTTGCCCCGCTTAACTTCATAAGTATTCGCATGGCTCAATCACGTCCTGGTTGAAGTTCGTTCGCTACGCTCACTCACCTTCAGGTTGGAAATTGTTCGCTGCGCTCACTTGTTTTCAGGTTAGCTCGTTCGCTACGCTTACTCGCCTCCAGGTTGATGTTCGTTCGCTACGCTCACTCACCTTTTGGTTGCAAATTAGCTGTTGTCATAAATTTAAAAAAGTCAACCCTTTTATTGTTTATAATACAGTACTTTTATAAAGGTTTTTATGTTTTAATATTTAACATTGGAGAATTTAAACGTTGTTAAGTGCACAGGTGTGCTGCGATTGGGGTTTAATACATTTGGACTTATTCAAAAGTAAAATAGTTTTCTGTGCTGCAATCTGTAGAAACACTGTGGCACTATTTCAAATCATGACTAATGCTAATACAGAATGTTGTGATTATTCAACCTACAAAACAGTTGGTGAAAGTAAACATCTGATTTTAAATTATATTTTTTGTAAACATTGTAGATCAAAAAGTCTGACATTGGTCCACTTAAAACACTCTGGGGCAGAGCCCTTTTGACGGATCTGCACCAAACTTCACTCGAACCATCCTTGAAAAATGCTTAATAATGCCTGAAAGTTTCATTACAATCTGTCGAGCGGTTTCGGAGTCCATAACGTATATACACACACACATACATACATACATACGTAGTTCCTCTTTTATAGATATAGATTTATATATATTTGATAGAAGAGTTCTCCACCTTCCAGGCATAGTTTGTTTAAAGTTATTTCAATTAAGTATCCCATTGTAAACTGAATGCTTGTTATTATTATTTTTACCATTAATATTCACTCTCATCTTATATTTTTGTAGCCATTATAAAAGCCCTATTAATGTTGCCAATTTTGATACTATTCAATGTAGGCTCATCTTTATTAATAAATATAAGTTAAGATTATGAACATGAATATGCTGCACAGATTGGACTGGCCAAGAGAGTGGGGCTCGCTGATGCCGACTCTGCTAGAGGCAGTTAAGCTGAGTGACCCCCTACAGCAGCACCGAGCTTTACTTACTCTGTATCACGTCATCAAGGCGTTGAGCTCCAAGCGGCTCATCGGCGACCGTAGGACCTTCCAGGAGCTCACTGCCAACATCTACGGCTTCATGCTGGCTATGTGGGAGGAGCACACCTGTTTGGCTATCTCTCAGGTGAGTTTAGTGTAGTTTTAGCAAGGTTGTTTGGTATAAAAGGTACCTTCGCTTTTCCCATTTTTTCTTTTTTGAGTAAATATTCTAAAAGGAAAATGAGCTATTGGTTTTATTTAGAGATTTGTCAATTCTTGATACTGAGTTGTATTTATGTCTTTCTTATGCTTAATTAGATTCCTTCTTATCCTGGTAAGCCTGTGCTAATTTGACAGAAATTGACATTTATTGAATTGAACTTAGTCACCTTTGTCGTTTATAGTTTATATTCAGTAGCTAGCTTTTTAGTCATTAGCGATACAATTGTGTTGATTTAATATAAGCAAGTGGTTGATAGCATTAGCAACAATTTTAGGTAGGGATGGACGGGATTGAATTTTTAGTTCGGGGCGGAATGGGATGGGAAATGACTCGCGGTCATAACGCGATTGTTGAAATGACTCGCGGTCATGACCCGACTGTCGAAATGATTCGCGGTCAAGACGCGATCGTCAAAGTCAAAATGACTCGCAGTCATGACACGATCGTCAAAATGACTTGCGGTCATGACGTGATCGTTGAAATTACTCGTGGTCATAGCGCGATCGTCGAAATGACTCACCTTTGTTGAAATACCTTCGCCTCCTGCGTTCGTGGAACTATCGTGAACATCTCTCGCGATAGCGGCGTCATCGTCACTTGCAAAGCGGCAAAATTGCCGACGATCGGATCAAATCCCATCTGAAAATTTCCCGAGTAAAATGTAATCCCGTCCCGAAAATGGAGAATTTTTTTTTAGTCGGGTCCCAAAAATTTTTTGAAATTTCGGGACCCATCCATCTCTAGTTAGCAGAAATGTCTAATTAACACCTAAAACTCTTGATAAAGACTTTTCTTTAATTGCTGATTTCGTTCATATTTTCCCTGAAAATCTTTTTATTTTCCGGGCCTTTGATTTCAACCCACAAAGCAAAAAAAAAAAAAAAAAATAGCATTCAATCATGCAATATTGGTTATAATTAGTGATTGTTGTTGAACCACGTTGAGCTGGTGATTCCAAAAATAGGCTAAACTAAAGAATATATTATTTTCAGCTCCAGAGTGTTGGGCCTAACAACAGTGAGCCCAACAAATGTTTAGAGAATGCAATGCTATCATTGAGGATTCTAACAAAACTGACAATTCATGGACTCAAGAAACCTCATGAGTTCCCAGATGCTAACACCTTCCTCAAATTGGTCTTTGAACGGGCGAAAACAATGTTGCATTGCAGTAAGTTACATCATTCTTTGCTATTTATTAAATCATTAAAAATTGAGATGCGGCCGCTACTTAGCGTATCTAAACCAAAATATGAATGAATGATAAATGTTGTTCCTTATTCATAAAACTCAAACAAAATTAACAACTTGGTCCATCAGCTAACTGTTTCTTGTGGGTTTGTATGTCATGGGTTTAGAAAGAACACAGGAGAAGATAGGATTAATAGATAGATAGATTAATAGATTAATTAATAGATAGATTAATTTGATAGTTTTTAAAAGTTCTGTGACTAAAGTAATAGTTTAAACTATAGGTAAAGTATTACTTAATAAATGGAAACATAAGACTTTTAATGGATAATTAAAACTGAGTTAAAAATGTAATTACAAAAATACTCACTTTAATCTGAGCAAAAAGCACATGTTTTTAACAATAAATGAAAATTCTTCTAGTGAAAACTGCAAGACCATATAATGCACTCTTTATAAAGCTGATTAATTATTATCGATTATTAACACTTAATCGTTGGACTATTGCAATATTTCGCAAAACTAAATTAAATAATACACTCAAGACAGGAAGTAACCTACACTTGACTCATGCAACAGGTTTCTGCTGATGCAACAGGTTTCTGCTGATGACGTCTGGACCTCCACTCCCCCTACCCATCACTAACTTTTAGACAGCTTATCACTTGGAACTGACCCTTGGATACAGTATCTCCAGCTGTGTTTACATTGCCAATAGAACTCTTTAAATCATTGTTGCAAATTATCTGGAATTAGCTGTCACCTTTTTTAAGCCTATTTTATTTTCTCAAGTTTTATTGCTGTTGAATATTGACACCGTATATTCTATAATTTTATTTTTTGAACAATAACATAATATACAATGATTTAAAATAATGAAGTAAAACTGCAGAAGATTTAATTGAGTAAATGGTCACAGCAATAACTGCACTGCAATTACTACAACTGCATTGAAATGGATAACAACTGGCACTACTAACTTGTTCCAGTGTACCCATAGCCGAGACCTAATCAAGATTTGTTATCATCTTTATTTATGGACTTAAAACAATTACAGCACCTATTTTGTTATGACTATTTGCTACATGGTTTTTTAATGAAATAAAATTGACACTGTTATCCTTTATTTAATGGGATAATTTATTATAAAAATAAGACTTTAGTATTATTATTTAAAATATATATATATATATATATATAAAAATAATAATAAAGTTTTTAAAATGAGCCAATGTGGTGTGTGTAAAAGAAATGTAAGGTCTTCAGCTGTACAATGCAAAGGAATATGCCACAAATGGTTTCATACAAAATGTTTGAATATGTCTTATAGTGATTATAATGAAATTTATAAAGGAGAAAATTTGGACTGGAGGTGTCTTGATTGTAACTCAACATCAAATCATAATAGTCATGAAAAAAGTTCCAGCATAGTTGATTTAGAGAAAAAGGTTACAAGTGTGAATTCTGATGAAAACGAAGACTTAGAAAGTTCACTCATTCTGGCTGCTGAGGCAGGTAATATTTTGCTAAAGGAAAATGAAAAGCTGAAACAGGAGTTGCATAACGCAAGACAAAATTACTCTCAATCCAAATTGGAACTTGATGACAAGATTACCCAATTAGAAAGTCAACTTGAACAATGCAATTCCCTTTTCAACAAGGAAAAGTACGAACTTGGTCTGAAAATCAAAGCCTTAGAACATAAAATCAAAACAGAGATGGCTCATAAGGTTTCGTTGATTGATCAAGCTGAAGCAGAAAAAGACAGTTTAATCAATGAATTAAATTTGCGCAAGAGTCCATGTGAACAGTGCAAGATATTAAAGGAAGAGTCAGCTAAGATGCTAGAATCTATCAGATGTCTTGAAGCACAAAAAACGGACTATGGAATTGGTGAATCAAATAAGGACCTCAACACATGTCTACAAGTCCTTGAAATCGACAATCGAAGCTTGATAGAAGAGCTCAGGACAGTAGAATCAAAACTAAAAAAGGCTCATGAAGAACTTGATTTTTTTAAAGACATCTCTACATGGAATCCATCAACTCCATTCACTGTACAAAAAGGTACATCAGACATACCATTAAAAAATAGATTTACAAAGTTAATTGACTTGCAAAATGTAACTCAATGCAGTACTTATAATGAAAAAAATGAATACACCTCACATAGCAAGAAGATTAAGAATAGTCAAACCAAAATAAATTGTGGACCTACAACTAAAAAATCAAAAATATTAATTCTTTCAGATAGTCATGGGAGAAAACTATCAGACTTAATGAGCAACAAAATTGGCAAGAGATTCTCAATATCGTCAATCATAAAACCAAATGCTAAATTTGAAGAAGTAATTGAAGATTTGGAAAAGATCAGTCAACATTTTTCTGTAAAAGACTACATAATAGTGTTGGGCGGCACTAACAATTTCAGTGAACCATGTACTAAAGAGAGAATTGACCTAACTAAACTATTGGATGCCGTCAAAAGAACAAATGTTCTGTTCCCAGGAATTCCTCTGAGATATGACACAACATCACAAAACAAAAGCATTTCTGAGTTTAATAACAATCTCATTAACACTTTTTTTGCACCCCACAATAGATGCCCTGGAATCGTTATCATGGAGAAGACTAGGTTTTATAGAAGGGATCATACTCAGCATGGACTTCACTTTAATTACAACGGGAAGCGTAAACTTAGTAATGCCCTAAACAGTTCCATACTTAGGCACAATAGAGAGCGCAGTTCATGCTCCCAAACTGGTGAACTTTGTTCCGTCCTTCACCTGCCCAGGTACATCAGACTCTCCTGGTATTGAGCCAGCCACATTGCAATTTAATGGCAATATACAAGACACAAATGCCTTCCCTTTGCTGCCTTCTTCTTCAACTTCATTAAAGACAGTCAACCCAAATGCTAAACCACCAAATGCTAAAATCTCAGTTCTTCAGAAAGATATGAGACTTGTGTTTGATCAAATACAAAATGACACCTCTGTAGCACTGGCTCATACAATTTCTGCTGATTTTAACAACCCCCGACACATGTCAGCGGGAGTGGCAGTGGCTTTCAGGGAACGATTCGGCAGACCTCAGATCTCTGACTGTGTCACAAAAAATCTAGCTCTCCAGAAGGTGGAAAATGGCCCGTTAGTGTACAGTTTGGTAACTAAAGACTCCTACTGTGGAAAACCAAGAAATCAGGACTATGATGCAGCCTTCAGTGACCTGGAACTAGATTTCAAAAGAAAAGGTTTAAAAAAGTTATATTGCTCTGCAATGGGTTGCGTTAGGGATATGATTGAGCCTCGTCACTTCATTAAAAACCTAGTAAGATTTCATTTTGCTACTGGTGCTGAGGTCTGCATAGTGTCTTATGACCAAAAAGCACAAAGAACTCTTTGGAGGGGGCGGTCACATGAAGCGTTTGTCACAGCATTACATAATGAAATCTCAAATCAACTTGAAGAATGTCAAAGACCAACGGAGGAACACAATGCAGCTAACGTCTTGAATGTTGCAGCAGCGAAAACGATGATGCAGCCTGAAGCATCGATGCAGCCCAACAAACCACTAGAAAGTGTATTGTGCAGTGCAAAAAGTCAGTCTGGTGAAGTGAGTGTAGATATGGAGAGTAAAGATGAAGATGAGTCCCCTGTACATATTAATTCCATGGTATTTGAGAGTGAAATTGTAAATAGTAGTCTTAGGAATAATACAGAATGTTTTTTAGAGAAGTAGTTCAGGTTGAGGAGTCCAAGAAAAAATATGAGTTAGGAAAGAATCTTGATGACAGTTTTGTTTTGTTACATTTTAATATCCAGGGCTTCTTAAATAATTATTTAGATTTAGTTTTCTTCCTGGAAAGTCAACAAAGAAAGGTTCAGGTAATTTCTTTAAATGAACATTGGCTAAATTCAACATGTATAAATTTATTAAACAGTTTAGATGATTTTAAAATTGCTGATTTTTATGCTAGAGCTGATCAATCTAGAGGAGGCTCATGTTTAATGATAGATAAAAATTTAAGTTTCAAAATTAGAAATGACTTGAAATTTCTGAATGAACCATATTGTTTTGAAGGGTCATTTATAGAAGTTAAGGAGTGGAATTCGGTCTTTGTATCAATATATAGAATTCCTGGAGATAATTTTGATAAAATATTTTTAGAAAAATTTGAGTTATTACTCGACAAATTGGCATTGGAGGCAAAATCTAAAAATGTTTTTATATCTTCTGACTTAAATATTAATCTGTTATCTGACAAAGCTAGTACCTGTAAAGTTTTTGAAATCTGTGATTGTTTTGGATTTGTACCAAATGTATTTATACCTACAAGAGTAACTAAAAATTCTAGTACTTGTATTGACAATATATTTTCTAACATCGGAGCTAAGAATACTAGTAGCTTAGTTGTAGACATCGGTGCATCAGACCATAAAGTATTGATATTGTCATTTGAGAAAAGGTCTTCTCCAATACTTAGATGTAAAAACAAAGAACTAATTCGTAAATTTACAGAACAAAATTTAAAAACTTTTGAAATGGCTTTAAAGAATGCACATTATGATATTAACACACCAAATGTAAATACAAACTACAACAACTTTCTTAATACATTTCTAAATTTATTTAATGAGGTTTTTCCAAAAACAGTTAATACAAGATCAAATAAAACACAAAAAAGGAAAAATTGGATTACTTTAGGAATCAAAATTTCAGCAGAAAATAAAAGAAAATTGCACCAGGAATCTAAATGGAATAGAAACCCACAATTTTTAACTTACTACAACAATTACAGGAAAACTTTCAAAAAAGTCGTTGCATTAGCTAAATTAAAGGCAAATGATGATTTTATTAAAAGGTCCAAAAATAAAAGTAAAGCATCTTGGTCAGTCGTAAAACAAGAAATTGGATTAAATAGAAAAAACTCGGACACACCGGTTGAGATCCAATTGAATGATGGAAACGACCAATATGGTAGTGCATTGGCAATAGCAAATAAATTTAACAATTTTTTTATAAATGTTTCACAAATTGCTAACCAAATGACAGATAAAGATAAATCCATTCAGCTACTAAACAATAGTCAACATTTAATTAGACTTCAAAATTCTGCTTTACAATTTAAATTTAGGAAAATTTCAGTTCAGGATCTAAGAAAAGTTTTTACCAGTCTTAGCAATACTAAATCTTCAGGTTGGGACGAAATTCCCCTCTTTGTTATTAGTAGAGTTTTTAAAATTATTGAACAACCTCTCTGCACACTAGTGAATCAGTCCCTTGAGGAAGGAATTTTCCCTGAAAAACTTAAATATGCAGAGATAAAACCTCTTTTTAAAAAGGGTGATGTTAACAATCCTTCTGACTACCGACCAGTTGCTCTTTTGCCCTGTTTTTCAAAAGTTTTTGAAAAAATTGTGAAAACTCAACTTACAGATTATTTGGAACAAAATAATTTACTAAATCCATCTCAGTTTGGTTTCCGCTCAAAATCCAGTACTGAAAAGGCTATTACCAGGATGATTAACTGCATTGCGGAGGCCTTGGACGGGTCGCAGCGCACAATAGGTGTGCTGTGTGACCTGTCCAAGGCTTTTGACTGTGTTGATCATGATATATTGCTAGAAAAATTAAGTAGACATGGAATAAAAAATGTGGAATTAAAATGGTTCATTTCATATTTAAAAAGCCGTAAACAAAGAATTATATTACAGAAATGCCAAACCAAATATAAGTCAGAGTGGGGTTACACACCCTACGGAGTTCCTCAAGGTTCCATTCTTGGACCTTGTTTATTTTTAATTTATGTAAATGATTTATGTAATGTTACAAAAATGCATACTTTTCAATATGCAGATGATACTGCTTTAATCTGCACCGAACAAAAAACATTGGATTTTAAGCAAGACTTAATTACTAATGAGTTTCAACTCCTCGGGGACTGGTTCACAGTAAATGGTCTATCTATGAATGTGTCAAAGACACAACTAATTCACTTTTCAGTTGCTAATGAGAATAGAGACATTGTTGTAAATTCAAACCAAACATCAATATATTCTCAAAACTCAGTTAATTACCTTGGAATTGATATAGATTGGCAACTTAATTGGCAAACAAACATTAAGAATCTATCAAAGAGACTCAGATCAGCTATACTTGTTCTTCGGGTAATTCGACATACTACAAATTTAGACACACAATTAGCAGTATACCACGCTTATTTTTCTTCCATTATGAATTACGGTTTAACGGTATGGGGTTCTTCTAGTCATGCCGAACAAATTTTTATCCTCCAAAAAAGAGCAGTTAGAGTCTTAGCGAAAGTGTCTCGAATTACTCACAGTAAAGAGTTTTTCATTCAGTTTAAAATTCTTACTTTGTATAGTTCTTATATCTTTAAACTAGCTTTAATGGTTAAAAGTGATTTTGACACATTCATGGAAGATCAACATGCCCATCCTCACAACACTAGATTTAAAAACAATATAAAACCAGTTCAACACAGACTTAAAGTATTCCATTTATCTCCTCAGTACATGGGCCCAAAAATATATAACAAATTACCTTCTTCAATTAGGGACACTGATTCATTCCCTGAATTCAAAAAGAAGTTAAAAAACTTTCTTTTGGAGAAGGCCTTCTTCTCATTGGAGGAATATATGGAAGCTATGTAGATGTTAAGGCTCAGCAATGAAATTTATTTTAGTAATAATTTTAGTATAATAGAGACTATAAAATATTGTAACAATGACGAATCACCTGTCTGAATATGATGTTATGTGATTATTGGAAAATAAATAAATAAATAAATAGGTAAGGCTTCAGCATCAAAGGGTAAATAAGCTCACTCGTTCCCTTCTGTCTGACCTCTTCTACTAGACAGAAGGCAACTGAGACGGGTCAAAGGAATGATCACAAGTCTTGGTTACCTGAAATAGCACCTACATTTCTTAAGACTAGTGTACCTGTTGCTCGAATTCGAGCAATTTCGAAGTATTACAGGCGTGGTTTTAAAACTTTTAACAGTCATAATTTTTGATGACTTTAAAAGAGTCAACAAAGATTATGGAAATATTCACAATGTACATAAAAGTTCGATATAATCAAAATTTCTTGCTAATATCTTATCATTTTTCAAAAGCTGATCTGGTTATTTAGTGTTCTTTACAAATGTTTCCCACTCATAGCCGCATTAGGTTTACTTGGTGGTGTTCTATGACTTTCCTATGTTTTCATAGTTTGCAAATCGGCTCTTTCAATGATTGCTCAAGAAATGCAGCACAGTGTTAATGCAGGTTCCTTTTTAGTATATAAAATTGTCCAAGCTTTTTCGCTTGTTTTTCCATTGTAATATTTACGTTAGCCCAAATTCAAAAAGTAAATATTTCATTTCAATCAAGTCAGTAAACCTTCCTCAGGAGGAGCTCATAGACAGGATGCTGCAGTTCATCAAGCACCTCAAGTTTGACAGGCTCTAAAGTACAAAAGGGGGAGTGTTAAAAACCCTCATGTAGCTGATGTTCCTAGAAATAAGGTCTGCTCCATTCAACCAATCAGAAATCAGCTAATAGTTTTTTTACAGGAGTATCAACCAGGGGGGAACTTCAGTCTCAGGTGGAACGTTGTATCGTAAAGTTGACAAAAGTTCTTCTCTCTGTGCTGGAGAATCATCCTCTCTCATTTGTTGATTGTTTGCCGGCTACGCTTAATTTTACCGTTCACTACGCTTTCACACCAGAAGGCGCACCACTGTTGTTTGAACGCTTCCTAATCCAGTGCCTAAACCTGCTGAAGGGTATTCTACTATGTCCGGAGTACAAGCCTGCCAAAATTATTGAAGGTTAGTATTTATTTTTTAAGTGATATGCATTTTAAAACTTTATGAAAGAAATTAAAATAAAAAAAATTCTGTAAGTTAAAATATAGTAAGGATATACAAACAACTAGGGTGAAAGGCTAGATTGAACTTACGGGAATAACTTATACATCCTGATTTATGATTGTATATTTTAGGTAACATATTATTTTTAAATGGGCTTGCCTATGTGAAAAATCAAGAGTTTTGACCTAAAATAGTCACTCAAAATTGTTGATGCCCATTATTATTATTGGGTATGCTAGTATCTATCCCTTTCCTTTATTTATGTATCACTAAAAAATTAAAATTCTTAAAATTCTTAAAAATTCTTAAACTCTAAAAACTAAAATTCTTTAGTTATTTAAAATTCTTTTACTAGCTCTATTAGAAAGAATGATTATTCAGCAGTGATATAATGTTTTTTTACAATTTTACAAAAAATGTTGTATGCATAATGTTAATGTTATAAATATTTGCTATTTTGATTTTGATGATAAATAAAAATATACCGAACCTTTTGACTTCTTTTCAGAAACCAAAGAGCCAGACACACTAAGGGCTCATCAGATCAAGATGAGCTTTTTTGAGACGCCCATCCTGAACATTATGTGCCGCAAACTCATCACACACTACTTCCTGCTGGCTCCTCAGGATCTCCAGCAATGGGACGCCGATCCTGAGGGCTTCGGTAGGTCACAGGTCATATACTTTATTGGAATTTAGAATATAGTAGTTGTATTGGATTTTAGTGGAAGGGGTTCTGTATTTTATAGGGAGTTCTCCTTGCATACCTATCCCTTTTTTACTTAAAGTTTAAGGTTGGAATCATCAGGAACATGACTTTAGATCTCTTAGTAGCTAAAAGTCATCAGTAAATGGCAGCCTCTTAACCACTAGGCCAGCAGATCTCCATTGTTTCACTTACAACATCCTCATCTATTTTTTAAGTCATATTGCTTAAATGTATTGTGGCACAGTTTAACAATTGTTAACTTTTTAAGTTGACAGACTCGCAGGCAACATTGACTGTAACCAATTTTTGTTTGTTTATTTTTTACAGTTACTGACGAGGGAGGTGAATGTTGGAAATACAGTTTAAGGGTAAGGAAACATTACAAGTTAATACTATAGAAATCAGTGTGAGTTTTGTAAGGAAACAGTTTGGGTATTATTCGTAAGATAATTTTGATTTTGCATGGCTTATTTATTCATCTTCTAAAATTTATTGGATGAATTAACTGACTATTTTATGTTCCTTTAACACTTCAAATCATTTTCTTGCTGAAGGTTCTATACAAACGGTTAACAATGTCTATGTTTCAGTTAGCGACACATACCTTTCAAAAATTTCTCTGTTTTCAATATTTAATATATTTTTCAGCCTCAAATATGTAATATTAAAATGTACGTACAGTAAAACTCCAATCATCTTGATCAATTTGGATCGAACACCATCCAGGTAGCATAGTTGGATTTTCAAAAATATGAGTTTGAATTATTGTAGTTCTACTGTATCATTAGATTTATAACCTGTCTTAAATCATATGTTTTTAATTTTTTATCAGTATGGCATTTCTTTGTGGGGCACAGCTTCAAAATCAAACTTGGATATATTACAAAGATTTCAGTCAAAATTACTAAGAACCATCCTGAAAGCCCCTTGGTATGTATCCAACGTCACCATTCACAATGATTGCAAAATTCCATTTGTTACTGAAGAAGTTATGAGCTGCAGTAAAAAATACATCTCCAAGCTTGAGTATCATCCGAACCATTTGGCCCTCAACCTCCTAAGTCAACATGTCTACAGACTAAAAAGAGAAAATGTTTTAGACCTTCCGACTCGATTTGTACAACATGATTTGTACTCATGTTTTCCAATTGTTATTTTATTTATATAAATGCCATCATATTTACTTATTGTTTAATGTAAAATAGATTGTAAATAAAACTTTGTAAAAAAAAACCTTTTTATCAGTAAGCTCTTATCTATCTAGACTATTTAAATTAAAAGGTCTTATAAGTTAAGTTCAAGCGTTACATTTTTGTCGCCCCAAACAATGTGATTTTATATAAATCGAGACATTAAAGGCATTAGATGATAAAATTATAATTTTTCTTAATTAAAGCAAACTTAGTACTTTGTAGTTGTTTTTTTGGTAAATATCTACAATCATCTAGCAAAAATAGTGTACAAAAAAGATTATGAGGCAGTAAATAAGATCTAGTAAAAATTGTTTTTTTAAATATTCAGTCCCACAATCATACACTCTTTGCTACAACCAGGCATAATGCACACACTCCCACATTGCCTCAATTGTTGTATTGTAATGTTCTTTCGGCGGGCCATTGTAAGTCGGTAACAGGTTTCTTTCGATTTAACTGTGTATTCAATATTTTTGTGTGTTTTGTTTACTGTACAGCCATGCACAGAGACGCTGTTTGTCGGACTGTTTCACGACTTCCGCACAACGTTGAGTCCTCTATTGCTGCAGTTGATCACGGAGAACCACACTCCAGTGGATCCTCACAACCTGGACGCTATACTGGCCAAGGACGCTGTATACAACGCTGTTGGACTGGCTGCCTTCGACTTGTATGATGAGGTGAGTCACCAGCCAGTAGCGTCTCAATTGTCTGTTTGGTATGACTGGACTCAGATGTAGGTGAATTGAAACAACATCTTATCCAACCCTTGACTACTCTGAAGATAGACACCATACTTGACTGTACTTTCTCTTTGTTTATGTGCTCTGCAGAACCACACAATTCATTAAGTCCTCATACCTTGCATATCTCCCTGATCCTCTTCTCATCTTAGTCTCAGGGCTTCAAATTATCCAAAGCAGCTGGATGAAATATCACACTCCACCAGTACAGTAGATCTTGGATGAATATAACCATGTAGCCACCTCTAATACAAGGCAGCGGCATTGGTGTGTGACAATTGCCAAGGTAAAAACAAGAATAACAAACTTGTAAACATAAAGTATGCTCGTACGCTTGATTATAAATAAGTGCGACAGGTGTTTTCAGAACGGCTAACTGCAGCGTTGCCACTTTTGCCTCATCGCGGACTTGTATTACAGGTGGCTATGCTGTAACACCAAGACACTAGTGAACAATTTGAACCATAAAAAAAATAAAAATTATAATTAGATCAATTAAAATTCTAATTAAAATTTGACAAGTTGGTGATGAACGACTCGGAAACAGAAAAGCCACATTTGAGAAGACAAGGTTGGTCCATGGTGATCACCTGCCAGTAAACAACTCTTAACATGATAACAAAAAAGTAATGCTAGAAAAACTATTGATTCTAGTTTGGGAAAATTTTGTAATAATTTGATTGACAGTAATACTAATAGAATTTAAAATTAAAGGTTTTAAGGTGTCACTGACTAAAAACATAAGGCTTCCAATACCACCATAAATTCACAATAAAATATGAGTTAGACCTTTGGTCAAACTTGATATGAAAAGCACATTAAAACATACATTGTTTATGATAAGAAGTTGATCTTAAACACTGCTTAAAATTGTACAACAGGGTTTTTGTTTATAACATTTTCTATACAAAAAATTGTTATAGGTTAACTTTGACGAATGGTTCACAACTACATTGAGGACAGAGCTTCAGATGAAAGAAGGAAACTACAGGGTTATCAGAAGGAGGGTAAGTGTATTTTGGTTTTGTTGTTCAAATGAATCCGTCGTTATTTAACTTATCAACATAACAAACCCAAGTTCTACAACGGTTAAAGGCATTTAATTATGCACTAAGAGAAATAGTTCTTTTAATATACTGTACATTTAAATTGATAATGCCACTAGTTGAATAAAGATTTTTGATTTTGAAGTTGAATTTGATTGTGGCAGGTTGCTTGGCTAGTGGGACAATGGACTGGAGTGAAACTATCATGTGATCTGCGGCCAGCTCTGTACGCAGCAATGTTACCTCTGCTGCGTAGTGACGAGGATATTGCAGTAAGACTTACTGCCTGCAGCACCATCAAGAGTGCCGTCGATGACTTTGAATTCAACTCTGAACAGTTCATGGAATACCTAGACCCACTTTTTGGCCTTCTCTTCGCTTTGCTCAAAGAAGTTCACGAGTGTGATACAAAGGTGGGTTGTTGTAAGATTTATTGTTAATAGTTCATGTATAAAACTTTGAGTAGGATTTGAGTACTTGTAGAACAAAATAGAGAATAATAATACCTAATTAAGGAACAGCCAAGGATGAAAAAGAAGGATAATGGACGGAGAAAAGTAGTTTAGTAATTAAAATGAAAATATTAAATTACAAATGACGAAATATTGGGTGAAAAGATGAACACCAAAATTAACTTAATAGGTACCTACTAAATTTGTCAAAATGAAGGTCATATAAATATATTAATTAAAATAAACAAGGATGCTCTTTTAAAAGAGATTGAGTTAAACTTCCTTACCTCTATCGCCAAGACTTAAATAACAATAGACGTATTTGGTAGAAGTGGGCAGGTTGGGTAAATTCCTTAAGAGGTACAAATTTAGTAGTCATTTTGTTTGTTCCACTAATATTTAACTATTTGTGTGTGTCCGTCCAATAACAACTAGCTCTGCTCTATACGTACATTGTATTCTTAAAAAATTAAATCAATGAATAACTTTTGGGGTTTTATTAGTTCAATTCAAGGATCCATTTCAACCCATGTAAATCGTTATCTTTATTTTACCAGTTTACATAAATTAAGATAATTTGTCTGTTTGTCCAGATGCACGTACTGGGTGTGTTGTCGTTTGTGGTAGAAAGAGTAGGGATTGCTATCCGTCCCTACGCCAACTCTTTGGTTCAATATCTACCTCTGCTGTGGCAAGAATCCACCGACCACAACATGCTGAGATGCGCAATTGTATCTACCCTTGTACATCTAGTCAAGGTAAGGCCGGTCAAAGTGATAGATGTAGCTTCCTCTAAAGAAAGTTACTTGGCTTTGGAATTCATTTGGGACTGAGAGGAAACAAATTTAACCTTCCTACTCAGTTCCAAGCTGCTCCTCAAAAGTCACTTCTCCAGAATTAAAAGTTACTGTATGAGTTACTTAGTAAACATGCAGTGGTTATTCTTGAGGCTTACCAAAACTCTTCAGTACCACAATATCGTTTCTTTTAGGCATATTTATCCTCAGATGTGGAGATGATGAGCATTTCTCTTGTATTTCTCTTGCAGGCTCTGGGGACAGTTTCAGAGAGTGGGTCCCTGGCACAGTTCCTGCTAGGTGTAATACAACTATCTACAGACACACAACAGCCCAGTCATGTGTATCTGCTGGAGGATGGACTGGAGCTGTGGCTTACTCTGCTAGAGAACTCTGCTACTATCTCTCAACCGTTACTGGGCCTGTACAACAACATGACTCAACTGTTAGGTAAGCTAAAGCTCTAATTAGCTAGCATTTTTAAAATGTATACATCAACATCTTGTTGTGAAAGGATAAACTAATTGGTTTTACTGTGGGTTGGCTAAAAAGTTGTGTCATCGTTCAATGTCGGGCTAGGAGTTGGGCCAAAGTCGTGATGCTTTGGAAAATGTTGATATTTTTAAATAAGCCTATTGTAATACTACATACTGGTTTATAAAATATTGTAGGCTACAATATTTCCTTCAATATCGGTGAAATTGCACACATCTTCCGAGATCACATTAAAATCATAAACTCTCTACAACATGGCGAAGTCAAAAATACCTCTGGCCATAGCAAAATCGTTAACATCTTCAACAGTCAAGGCCAAATCGTGAACTTCTTCTGTAGTCATGTCATAATCGAGAACATCTGTTACGATAACTGCAAAGTTGCACGTGCACTTTTTCTGTGACCTTGGCAAAAGAACCTCAATTGTGATCACGTCAAAATTGAGATTTCCTTTTACAGTGTAAAATAATACCTTTTCCTGGGATAACAGAAAATCTGTGGGCAACAGCCCCAAACAAGACAAAATCATGAATTGTCTATTGCACAGTTAGCAGTCCCTCTCTGCGATTGCAGATTGAGACAGCTTGCAAACCTCTAACTTAAATTACTCAACCTGTGCGAAAATTATTTCCGCATTGAACCGATTCGTTTGGCCAACTGTTGGCCTGACCCGACCTAAAATATCAGGGACCCGTAGACTTGTAGTACCTTTAGGTATATGACACATGGTCAAGCAATTGATGACTGTAGAGATCATACATGCGAACCGGAAATGATTGGCTAACCAATCATACAATGCCCAAGATACAACAGAGATACTCTATTTGGTAGTTGTATGATTATGCATGTTGCTTTGTTGCTTGTAACTCTTCTGGGTAGCCGAGTGGGATTGATTTTGGTCCTGGAAACCATTTATCCTTGGGCTATCGATGATTTATCTATTTTATGAAAGTTTGGTGTCTAACACTTATTTTTATTGAGGTTCATAATATTGGCCTCAGTTAAAAAATAATTAGTGATACTCGTATGATATATATATCACTAGTTGGTATGGATATTAATCATTGTGTTTTTTTCCCAGAACTTTCATCAGAAAACTTAAGGACATGCTTTTACATCATTCAAGCGTACATCCTCTTAGCACCTGAAATTTTCTTACAGGTAAATTTATAAATGCTTCACACTGGCAAGTAAACAACTGATAAAAGGTACTACGTAGTACAGCAACACACATTACTGATGATGTGCTCATGTAAATGTGTAAGCTTTAGTACCTTGACCTTGACAATTATGGCAGACGTTTTCTAACTCTAAACATTCAAACTCTTGTTTCCATTACGTTTCACAGTCTAGAATGTGACTCATGCTTCAGGTGATATCGAACTTGACATTAACATTGCACAATGAATACCCAAACCGGATCGGTAAGTGATCTTGTAAGGGTTTTTGGTTCCTTTCCCAAGGCAGAGAGAGATTCTATTCAAAATTAAAATTGTACTACTAATCAGTGATGGAAATGTAGAATATTTGTGACAATTTCTGTAGACATTTTAAACTCAACCTTATGAACATGAAGCAATGAAGTGTTAGTTTTGTTAGGCCTACATGTGTTGTGTGTGTGCAGCACTACGGAGAGCAGGTGATGCGCAGCTGTATGTACCTGTTGACTGACATGCGTAGTGAAGGTATTGTGATGACCATGAGACTTCTGGAGTTGTGTCTAAAAGCTAACCCGACTAGAGCTGTCACTCTGCTGGAGCCTGTCTATCCCAGGATATTCCAGTGAGTCCTCCTTATGTTGACTTTGCTTATGTGCCTAGATAAATTCAAGATTGAACTTAAAGTTTAAGAAAAGGATAAAAATGACAAATTGAAATTGAGATCGCTTAATTTGTGTTCTATGAATGTGGCAACATCTCTGATTATCCCTGCAATCGCCACAAAACCATGTGATCGTGGTATCATCCCGGAGCATCTCCTGTGATTATGGTGATCATTTATTGCGGTCAAATGCATTTCTCATAGGATTTCTATTGGTTTTTACCTAATTAAATTATATGAACATTAATATCAGGTAGGAGTTATCATTATTTTTAATTGGTGAAAAAAAATAGTTTCATTAGAATAATTTAGATTTTTGTTAATTGAAAACAGAATTCTCCTGGTGGTAGGTAACCTATTCCAAGTAAAACGAAAATGACAGTGTAAATATTTTGTTTTAGAGCTGTGTATGTTGGTGAAGAATTCCCAATGGTGATGTCTATGTATCTTTCCATTATTGCAAGAGTGCTTCTCATCTCGAGGGATATGTTTAGTAGGGTGAGTAAAATTCCTTTATTGGGTAAATGATTATTTATGACTCCAGCTTTGCTCCCAATTTGTGCAATTGGGTAAACTGATTTGATTTCACAATGAAATACCACAGTGGATGGCAGATAGTGCCTGCTGAAAAATTTAAATCAGCAACAAAAAACAGAATTTTAGTAAGAATTGCAGAATTCTGCTTTCTGTGCAGAAGAGATAAAATAGTTTGTGCAAAATCCTAATAAATTAAATATTTTGACTATTAAATTTGTTTAAATTATTATCAAAAACTATTTAGGATTAGGGGTGTTTTAAATAACTGGTTCTTTCAGATAATCTATCGTTGTCAGTAAAAATGAGATAGCCTACGTTATTCTAAATTTGATTGGTAACATTAAAATACATTATTACATATATATTTTACCAGCAATCCTGGCTCCTGCAATTTAAAAAACACCTGTGAGCACATCTTACGGCCTCAGTTCTGTAGGCCCTACCTTAAAAATTACTGTAGGCTACAAACTGTCCAAGTAACTTGTTTTATTTTAAAATGTCTGTTATTTAACAGACATCACTATTATTAGTTATTCATAATAATTATGAGTAATTTACACTATCAATAAGCTAACTGTTTAACAAGACATGTTTGCATTCGTGAAGAAGATTCTTCAGATTTCCCATGTGTCGTAGGTGGTGGTTCACCTGGCTGAGTCACTCAAGGTGACTCTAGAGTCAGTCACTTCCAAGATCCTGGACGTCTGGTTGGACAAGATGTCTCTGGTCACACAGCCGGAGCGGAGCAAACTTCTGTCACTAGCACTCGCCTCTTTGATCACTTCACAGAGCCCGTGAGTAGACATTCCATGTTCTATGTTATGTTTAGATATAATCAGGAATCATTTGTTTATTTTTAGTGCGCTATGACAGTGGCTCGATTCTGCAACAGTACATTCCCGACTATCCGAGCCCGCAAATTGTCCTAGGTTGTTATACCTAAAGTTAGTTACCTAAAGATGACCTCAAGTGATAAGGGATATTAATGACGTGTGATTCTCTTGGAAAGCCAATCGGCTAGTAAGGATTTTATTTAGGAACACAATTCAGCTAGCTTGTGAAACCTGAGAAAAATTAAAAGTCCAGGAGCTGATGGATACACAATAATAGAACACTAAACATAACAATGATATTTCATCCTGATGTATAAGACTTCTTCAGAGAGAAGGTTGAAGAGAAAAATCAACCTACTTTTAGCGAATTTCCCTATAGGGAAGTAGCTATTACCGTAGGTCTCATAGTAAGACCTAAGCCCGGGACCGATTTACTTTTTCATTTTGATGTCCCCAGAGGCCAAAAACACCATTCGTTCAAATTTTTATATATCTATATATAGATATATATATATATATATATATGTGTCCATCCGCACGATAACTTGAGTAATTTTTGTCCGATTGTGATAAAATTTGGTTTGAAGGTGTAAGGCGGGATAAACTTGAATGAGTTCGCGAACCAGCATGATCGGACTATGGGAACGGAGGTTTATGGGGGGTTTTATGGGGTAAAAATAGGTTTTTCTCATTTTTGACCCTAAAAACACAAAATTTCACAATTTCTTTTTAAACCATTTTGTAGAGCTTAAAAAAACAAATAATTTAGTATATTGAAGCGTTATTATGCGCCTAATTGTTACGGAGAAAATTCAAAAAAATGTAATTTTAAAATTCCCATGTTATTCTTATGGAGAATAAGTCAACTGTTGTAGTTTGCTTGTTTATGAACATATTTTGATCAAATTTGGAAAATACATTAATTTCTTACTAAACCACAGTACCTTTTAATTTTTTACATTAAAAAAACTTTTTTACCCTCCCTGTTGCAGCAAACCTAAGTACTCATTAAACTAATTCTGTTTAAATAGGGAATAAATGTGATATTTTTAAGGAGACATTTTAGTTTAGATCCAATCAGGCAGATGGAAATTCGCTAAGTGTGCAGGTTTGCTGCGGCGGGGGTATTTCCCCTTCAGCCTGCTCTCTGAAGAAGCCCTACATCAGGACAAAATATCAGTGTTACATTTAATGTTCTTTTATTGTGTATCTATTTATGCTCTCTTATATGCTTGTCTTAGTTTACACTCATTACATCATATTTCGTACATATAAAATCTCTTTGGTTTAAATGTGTTGATTTCAGGTTTAACAGTTTTATTATGTGTTTCAGGGTGGTGTTGCAAAGGTTTTGCAGTATTTTATTGAGTGTATCAGAAGTTCTCAATGATATTACTCGAACTGATGATATGGGACTGATTATTGAGTGAGTGTTTTGCTTTATTAGCAATTCATTGGTTACACAACTGTAGGACTCAACTCTCATAATTTTGTCTACCTTAGAATCATATTTAAGGGAAGTCGAGTGCCTTATTAAGAAGTTTCTTTTGAAAAGGTGTAGAATTTAGCTAGCTTAACTGGAAAGTTAGAGTAGAGTCTAAATTGTTATAGATACTCAATAAAAGGTCACTTAAGATATCTCTGATATTTTGTACCTCGTGTAAGTGAGTAGACTCCAGAAACTCAGTACGGTACTCTCTGAAATTCTACATTTAGATGAAAAATTAGTAAAAGCATTTATAAGCCATTCTATAAGTTTATTGAAATAGATCTTAGTCAAAACCATTATTGTTAAACCACATTTCCTTTTTTGATCAATGAAATTAGTTGTTTGAATTATTATGTGACATTTATTTTCTATTTTCAGTTCAATAATGTGGAACGGAGATGACCTGAGTCCGAACAGTCAGTATGACAGTGATATTGATTACAAAACTGAACACGACCAAAGAAGAGAACAGCTGGCTGCCTCGGACCCTGTGTACCAACTTGAGCTGCAGAAATACTTCGGCGAACAGGTGAGAATTAGATTATTGGATCTTGCGGTTGACTACAGATTGTTGGAGAATGGAGATGACCATAATATTGTTCTGGTTCTAATGTAAACAGTTTTGAAATGATTAAAAATCAATTAAATTATTGAGATTTATATTTAGATGTAACGTCATAGTTAAAACTTGACAGGGTTTTTTTATTTCACAATCCTGTTTTTTTATTTCACGATCCTGAATCAACCACTTGACGAATTTTCATGATTTTGTGTTGAAAGGAAGATAATTTTGAGAACTAGGGAATGTCAAAGCCATAATTTTAGTTAAGGGTTTCAGTTTTTTAGAAATTAAGGTTTAATTTTTAAAAAGTCTAGCAGCCGACACTAACATTCTAGACTAGCTTGTGGTATAATATACAGTAGACTCCCTCTTAACCGGACTCCTCGAGACCGAGGCCAGTCCGGATAACGGCTTTTACGGTTAAACTGACGTCCCCAAAATCTTGTTAAAACGGACCGTTTAAATGCATACTCTATACAGTATTTGACCTAAAATTAGGAGAGCATTGTATTTAGACACGTAATCACTGGTCTCAAATCTTTCCCATGAGAACAGTCGTTTCAGTACACTTCCTGCCAATCTAGTCCGGTTAAACCGATGTGCTGATAAAAATTATCCGGATAAAGAGATGTCACTTCTACCGAGTGTAGTCCGGTCAAACCGATGTCCAGGTTAAAAGGTTAAAAGGTGTCCAGATAAGAGGGAGTTTACTGTAATACCATTTGCTTAACGTAACAGCTGTAAACATTCAGTATGACACAAATTCAGCATTTGGATAAAAATGAAATGGCCTACGTAGGGTTGACTTATTTATACTATGTCTAATGCTATGGTCATTGATACGCTCATGTATTTATATAATATCATTGACTATAAACACACTTCGGGAGTATATGTAATCAATGGTTGATCCTTTAACCCTTTAAGTGTCACCCGCCCAAAATTGGGCGAGTTTGTAGGCACTATGTTTTGTTTGTTATTTGTATATGCGTAATCAATGCCCCGGCTTACTTACACTAACTGTTCAGCTAATTCAGAGCTTCGTGGTGACTGTTAGAGACGGCCGTTTAGTGATGTATTTTTATCGTTATATGTTGTTTCTCTCTGACTGACACTGAACTGAAATAAAACAGCTGTCGTTAGTTTGCAAATGGCGAATTGTTTAGGTTTTGGTTTTGTTGTTGATTGCTGTGTAGTGAATTGTTCAAAAATGGGTTATGATCTCCGTTCGAGTGTATGCGTAAAGAAACATAACTCTAGAACACTTATTTTCCAGCTGAAAGAACTGCAGAACCAAGCCGGACCTCTAGTCTTTGCCCAGTTGCTGCAGACTGTTGATGCCGATACGTTGCAGCAAGTGAGGGACTACGTTCCTTTGTAACTAACTCAGATAATATTATTGTACATTTCCATTGTTAATAAATGTAATCAGATTGTATTTAGCATATTTTACTAAATAATTGTTTATAATAACTGTTCTGTAACTAATTATCAGGTATACCGGGTTGTGAATTTCTTTCAGTTAATGGCGAGAGTAGTAAGCTTTTAGATCTGTACAAATAGTGTTGTTTTGTTACTGGAGTTTTTAGAACTAATGTTACTATGATTTTTTTACGATTGCATCCTGGAGTTGGACAATGTTGTTACTGATGAGATTAGTTGATAGATGATTATGTTGTAAATTATCTCTAAAATGAAACATTTTATCCTTTGGACTAAAATTTATAATTTGTAGAAATATTGATATCTGTTAAATAATTAGAGAATGTAAGAACAAATTTTAGAGAAAGAGTTTGTCAAAGAAAAGAAAAGCAATAACAATGTTAACGCAATTAAAAATCATAGCTTGGTAAGTAATAGTATTGATGAATTAATATTTCATTTTTGGAGTTAAATTGTATTACCATTACAATAATTAAGAGTGTTGTCATAACCTCCCCTAATACAAGGCCGCGGCTTTGGTGTGTGGCAACATCATGCCAAACAGAAATAACAAAAGGGTAAACTTAAACATTGCCTATACTGTCCATTATAAATTAGTGCAACAGCTGTTTCGTTTTGACGGGACAGCGGTGTTACGACTTTTGTCTCACCGCGGTCTTGTGTTTGAGGAGGCTACGTGTTGTGTATAATGTTTTGAAAACTAATGGCTGATTTTTTGTTGATCTCAAGTAAAGTCAATAATCAATTTTAAGGTTTGTTTGAAAATAACCTAAACCCTCATTATTGAGCAGCTAAGTTGTGTGTGAATTGTAAAATACCTTTACTAATTAAACTGCGTTTTTGTAATTAACTATTTATTTTTTACATGAATTTTAACTTGGAATAATAAATTTTATTGGTAGAATCTTGTATTTTTTGGTTTGTTTTACGTTTTACAGTCAATAAACGAATTTAAGTTATGTTACAGAGAATTGCAGGGTAGGCTATGGTTATTGGATAAAATAACTGACAGAAATACATTTTGCTTGATATTTTTTGAGTAAAAAAATATTTATGCTGGAAAAAGTTGTAATGTGGAGGTCTGATTTTTTAAATAAGCAGGTATGTAATATTAAAGATTAGAACTTGATTTTATGAGAAATTAAATCTTTAGCTTTAACTATATTTAAGATTTGATTTATTTTAGATAAAATGTCTGTTCATAGAAAAACCCTTGGTATTTATATCAATTTCAACTAAGCTGCCAACTTATTTTTAAGTATTGAGTTTAATAGAATAGATGTGTTTAGAGAAGGGTTCATAATTTTTAATGTGACTAATAATGCCACCACTATTCCTAGTTACATTGAATTAATAAAACTTCTTCAAATCTAAAACTGGCTATTGATAATATTGAAGTAGAAATTGAGAAAAATCTAAGTTTCACATAATATTACCAACATGAGATCATGTTGAACTAATCAGAATGGTTAAAATAATACTCATGCTTAATGACCAGCATTAAAGAACTCATGAAAAACTGAATGTGTTTACCTATTTACTCTAGTTATAATTTGTTTAGTCCTTGAATTAAGACTTTAGTTTAAGGCTTGGATACCAAAATATTGAAGCATCGGTAAAATTCTCAAGATTGTGTGCCATGTACTGAAGCTGATATGTAGTTCAATAAAATTATTTTTTGTTTACATTCAAATTTTCAATTTACTTCTCCGAAATTATTTCTATAGAAAAATTAACGGAATTTGAGTTTTTTAGTATCTATGAATATACATTAACAAAAAGTTGACTATCCTTTACCCATGTCTACTTACTTGTTGTTAGTTTTAGAATTAGCCTTTCACGGCGATTTGACGAGCCTTTACTCGTCACTTGTAAATATGCGCTGCTACGGTTTGACAAAACTCACTCATGATGACGCAACCCGGGTAGTTGGTCGTGGTGGCATCTGACGATGAATCAGTGAACTATTTTGAAATAGTACTGTATACAGCACATTGTTCACTAGTTGCTCAATCTTTTACAACTGCTCTTGATCATAGTGAGTGCGACAGAGACAGATCGTTTTCAAACGTGAAAACTATGAAAGGTTGATAAGGAAGTTAATGTTGAACCCTATAGGGAACAATTTAGTTATGAAAATGGACCTAGACCCATAGGCATTTTTGAATTATGTTTTGATAATGAGTTTAAGCATGACCAGCACAAACACCCAATGAATAACAAGGACAAAACAAGAGATGGTTTGGGAGAAACCCACCCTTGTAGGGGTAAAAAATCCAGTCTTAAAGGGTTCAAAACCATTTATTAAACTAAGCCAGAGTGTGCTACCTACTCTATAGTTATTTGTGTAACTAGTGTGCAAAGTGGCACTTTGCTGCACATGAGAGAAATGTTTTGGAAAGTTTCTCGAGTGCAGCAAAAGAACTTTGCACTCGCTTTACACATAATATTTTTCCTACAGTTACTATAAAGCATATAAAATAAATAGTAAGTCTTTTTTCAATCACAATACAACACTTTTTAGTTTGGGTTAATTGAAGCATTGAACGAAATGAGCAACATTGCATCAGCTAATTGTAGTTTAAGTGTTGCCAACTTAATTTTAAGTGTACAATACTGGATTGCGGCAAAAAAATGAGTGCAGCAAAAGTAAAATGAGTGTTGCAAAAGAAAGTAAATGCATCACTTGGAGTACTGTGTAATCAGTGCAAGGAAGCCAACTTTGCCAGGTAACTGTAGGAAAAAAAAAATACTTTGTTAAACTACTTTCTTAATCACTGACTTTTTAACCAAGCCAAACTGAAAGGGCAACTTATTGTATAACAAATATCTATTAGGGTCATTTGAGTCTCCTTGGATGAAAAAAAATCTATAAGGTTGGTCCATAACATAACCGTTAAAATGGACCAACTGTAGCTAGTTTCAAGCTGAAGTGAATATAATCCAAAGTAGAGTCAATGGTAAGTTTTGTTTTTGAACTCTTAATTTAGGGAATAACGTCAAAACAGTGGAATAGGTTTTGCTCAAGATAATACTTCATTGCTGTTTATTATCATGAAGTTAAAATGACCTCTAGAAAATAAAATACTAAAGTTAAAATCTTAAAAATAGTGCATCAATCGTACTAGCATTAATATCTAAAAAACACATACATTTATAAAAGAGAGGAGTAAACTTGTAACCAAGGAATATGACAAATACACTGTACATCATACTATTCAATTTTCTATAATTTTTATACAATAATACATTAAACAGAGATTTAAGTAGCAAGAGTTAACATACAGCATTAAGGATTGATAGCCCTTTAAAATAATATATTATAGGTGCTATACTTATAATTAGGTATAAAACATTATTATTTACAAAAATATCATTTTATGAGTGATTTTGGTTTATACATTCAAACCATTATAAATAAAAATTGTAGAATATAGGTATTTTTAAACATTTCTCAAGAATTAAAAACTGTGTTAATTTATTTGTTTACTTCTTACATAAAATATCTTAGACCAAACTTTTTATAAAGAAAATACATTGAACAATACTATTGACAGAGTCAGGTATTAAACAAATATTTATATAATTGATTACAGCAATTTGCAATTTTAGGCTAAAAGTAGTTGTTTTATCAGGCTGCATGAAAATGTTGACTTAAATTTTGGAAGTAGTAAGAGTATAGTAGATGCACTGTGATACCAAATATCTTATGAGCACAATGCTGAATAGAAGCAAATATTAAAACTCCTGTAGTACCAATTTTTGAGCGGTTTACTTTTGAAAAAGTCCTTGGATATTGATAAAAACAAAAACACAAATTTCTACTATCAAACTGGATGGTATTATAACAAATTAATTTATGTCTCGAATTAATAAATAACTTTAGAGTTACAGGAAAATCACATGGTTTACAAGTATCACCAGAAAGAAACTTGTTTGGTTGCTATTAATAGGAAATGACATATTTGATTAAATTCACAAAATAATCAAGATGCTTGGTGCACACCAACAAGAAGTCAAACACTATTTTTGCTTAGCTCACAAAATATATAACAATTTAAAATCCTACACTACCATTTAGTTCAAATTTGGGAAAGAAAATAAGTCCACACTAAGAAGACAAATACGATACCTAGATAAAGTTGCCACTCAAGCGAGGCGCGAGTAGCAACCGTGTTCTCGGTTGATGAACACAACTGGTAATGTACAGATGAACACAGTGGTGTTAACAAGCAGGGCCTCATGACACAATGATTGTAGCATGCAGAACTAACGGGGCCTCCCAGCCGTCCTTAGAACTCTCCCTGTTTGTCCGTCGGCCTGTGATTTCCAACGGGAACGTTCCCGGATGTTTCAACCTCTTTCGGAAATGTAAAGCCCAAATCCCGTGTTTCTGCACCATCTCAAACTGGCCCCCCTCGTTTCCTTTGGTTATGCTGTATTCAAAATCGTTCTGCAATCATAAAAGGTTGTTAGGGTTATTGGATTACTATACAATGTACAAAAACAATGGAGTATAAGTTAGACTTGTATTTTAATAATTTAAATTTAATGATGTGTAAAGAAGAAGAGGCCGCCAACCTCTTTAAACAAAATTAAATTACCTAGACGAATCTTGTCGTGTAAAACTAAAAATTTTGTTTAAAAAATATTTACATACAGTTGATAATCTATATTACGTAGTGATTGTACAGGAGAAATTGATTTCTTATAAATATGAAGAATTATTTTAACAAAGCTGAGTCACAAAAAATTATCTTAGGTATGAAATGAATAAGACCTATTTAAAGGCCCTTCGCTGTTCCCCCACTCTTGTCTGAAGTACAGAATAAAGACCTAACCAAAAACTCTTACTGAGAAAAAAACATTGAGTTTGAATCTGCTAGTGGCTACAACAGAATCTAGGAGCGCTGCTGTCATAGTGATTTTTTTTAAGCATACATTTCACTTTTATGATCAGCTTATAGCAACGGTGTAGTAACGAAAGTTCGGACGTCTGGCCTAGCCTGCCTGTGAGCAACACCAGTGCTCCTAGATTCTGGTGTGGACACTAGCAGATTCAAATGCAACATTTCTTTAGGCTCAGTGAGGATTCTTCTGGTTATGTCTTCACCTGCAATCTGAAGACAGCAAGCTAGTTCTAGAATATTACATGTTTTCAGATGTTTTAACTGTATTCTATTTACTAAACTTGATGGTCTCTCATGTTGGCTTTTGCACATTAAAAGCAATGCTTGTGTTAAATTAAAACTCATATTTATAGCTGAGTGAAGCACCAAAAGCACCAAATAATACATTGGTGATAGCACCAATTTATACATTTTATGGCAATAAAAAAACTATCATCAACTGTATGGAAGTCCAATTATTTGTCAATCAATTGGTCCGGGAACAGCACAACAAAAAATGTATGAAAATATAAATGCAACTTTCCTTTATGGTAAACAAAGCATCATATTGTGACAGAAACTAGTTGATATTCCCCAGTTCCTACAAGCAGGTAAAGAAGCAATTTGGAATGTCTGAACTGAAGATTTACATGGGGTGAAGATTATTATAAAGTTGTTTTGCTACCTTGATGGCTGGCTGCAGTTTGATGACTCTGGTCCGGTGTTTGGTCTGAGCGAGACTGAGCCGCACCAGTCTGTGAGGCTGCTCAGTACGAGGTCTGTCTCCGTGGTGATGTCTACGATGTCTGCTCACCTGCAAAGAGTGTAGGTGAGCTTTCTTACTGACCACAAGCTGGTTTTTAAGACAGAATTAATATCAAAAGACCCAATGGTTAAGTTCAGCTGGGCCCAGTTTTAAACAAATAAAAAAACTCTAACTTTTCTAAGGATCGAATCAGCTACCTTCTGATCCCCAAGCAAGCACTACATCCACTCAGCTAGCAGGATTTAATGGTACATTGATCCAGAACCTGTCTCAACAACTTTTTTTTACTATATGTTAATTTTTATTTTTTATATTATTATTAATTGAGATGGGAATTAAATAAATTATTATTATTATTTGTAATCATTAGAGGTATTAATTAAATAGACTCTCTTTAATATATTACTATGTAGAACTAGGTTGTATTGAGCCCTCAAACAAAAATTCCTAAGTACAAAAACTATTTACAAAATCATTTTTAATGGGATCGACCGAGAAAAATTGGTATTTTAAATTAAGGATGTTCATAAAAATTAAAACTATCTTAAATCTATCTTATTAAAACTAAAATCTTATTAATGGAAGAATGAGTAAATTTTTAAGAACAGTCTTATGCCTGACATATTTTTAAACGTATCTAGCAGCAAAGCTCAGCTTTTCCCAGGCACAAATACAATGAATAGATGTCCACAAATCTTGGTACCATTAAATCTAGATATATGTGAAATATTTTTGAGTACCTTTTAGGTATAGAATAATTTTTGATTAAAAAGTGAGAGTTTTGAGCTTCGACTCCAAAGTAATTGTGGGTACACAAAAACCTAAAATGCAAACACAAAATGGTACCCATCTATATAAACCAGCTGTAGCTATTTTTTATATAAAAAATCAACGTGGTTGAATGAGACATAGTGTGCTTCAGTATATAATTATATTTTTCCCTTTAGTTTCTGTTACTGTGATAAGTTACGTGACAAAAGATTCAATATTTTTTACAATCAGTTGTCAGTTTAGTATGGTTAAATAAAATAA